GATATAAATTAGGATTATTTGGTAATAATAATAATAATAATAATAATAATAATAATGTAATAATAAATTATAAATTGATAAAAAATACACACAAATGACAAAACTAGTGAATTTTACATAATTGGATGAATTTTCAAAAAAAAAAATCATTTTTTTATTTTTTTATTTTTATATATTTTTTCGCCAATCCGATTTGATTTTAAACCGCAATTACCTAAATCAAACCGTTTTTTACCGGTTTGGTTTGGTTCAAAACCATTTCGTTGACGGGTCCACATGGCACCAAACCTACAGTTTCTAAAATACAATTTCGGTTCGATTTTTCGGTTTGGCGATTTTTGCTTACAGCCCTAGATTTGACCACCTTATATATATACTCTTCCTATTGAATCCCAAACGTTGTTCCAACATTGGTTGAGCCTTTTATTTAGTGAAGATAATAACCTTTGAAGATCAAATACATATTCAAATATCTCTTACATCATCAATCAACAGATCAAAACATAAAAAGATCATTTGATCAAACATCATAACAAAACCCTACATTTGCCAACCAGCTTTCAAAGTTCTGGAGTTTTAGGAAGAGGCGCTTGGAGTTCCAATGCTCGAGAATGAGATTTGTTCTTGTTGATCCATGCTGAGATAAAAGTAACGTAGAATTACTGGGAAGTGCCGGGTCATACAAACAACGGAGTTCCTTGATAGCAGTCTATGGACTAATTGTATATTAACTTTTCTAATAAATTTTACTTGCTCGGAGGTTTTTTTATCTAATTAGGATTTTCCAACGTGATCATATTTTGTATTATTTATTTATTTGCTGCTTTGGTCTGATTGTTTGAGATTGTTTAACCATATGAATTAATTGAATTAATTACCTTAATCATCTAAAAATAGTTAATAAGTGACTTGTTGCTTTTAATTTGATTAATTCCGTATTTTAATTACCTTAATCATTTCAGAATTAATTGAATTAATTACCTTAATCATCTAAAAATAGTTGATAAGTGACTTGTTGCTTTTAATTTGCTTAATTCCGTATTTGGGTCTAAATTATTCGGCTAAATTTAATCTTTCACATTTTTATTAGTTTTTTTAAGTTGCAAACTACCCAAACCTTAGACAAATAAGAAATTGATATATACCTACAAAATAGCAACTAATATAAAAAATTATCTTAATTGATTGTTTTGCATTTTTATTTCATTGAACAAATACTATTAAGCCATTAAGAATTTTTATTTATTTTTACAATGTTGGAAGAGTCAAGTTGAGTGCTTTCTATATTTTTCAATATTTTATTAGCTTACTAAAATTAAATTTTATTGCTCTGATGTAAGAGTTCTGTAAAAGAAAATAAATTTTGTAAAATCTCACAATGCACAACAAATAATCATCATTTAAAGAGAAAATACTTATTGAAAAATCAATAGTTAGAAAATACTAAATAGTATGCAAAATGTTACATACAATAATATTACAGGGCGTAAAGAATATTTTTGTCCGCTCAACTACTTATAAAAACATTTGTAATTTTTTAAGGAAATTGTGCTTTTTGTAACCTTATGCAAAATGTAGAAAGTAAAAAATGTAAATTCATAAAATACAATACACAAAGTGTAATTACATCGTATATACAAGGTTACTTCGTGAAAAAAAAAATGCTATCCCATCGACTCTAGCTTGGCGCTTCTTTCCTTTACTATGGATTTGATATTCATGTAATGGAGATGATTTCGCAATTACGATTTAAAAAAAAAAAAAAAAATTGAAGACCAATTTGTACTTTTAAAAAAGTATAGACGAAGCTGCTTCTCAAACAATTCATCGTGAATGGGTGTGCAATTTCCCCTATGCCTTTACTGTCAAATGTTATATTTATGTATTTTTCCTTTTAATTATTATGATATGAGGATCCCAATTTTATTTTTCCTTTTTATTATTATGATATGAGGATCCCAATGAGTTATTCATAGCTCTGATTAGTTCTAATCTATTTAATATTTTCTTAAGTAAATTAAGCATCCTTCACATGGAAAGGTAATATTAAATTAACAGACAGGGATTAAACAATTTAATGTTGTAAACTTAGAAATCTATTAAGAGATAGAATTTCATATCGAATAAAAATGTAAATATAAA